ATGGAAATGGTTTTGTCGCTTTGATTTAATTTTTGAAAAATGCTTCTGCTAAGGACGTTTTCCACAAAGTTATTCACTATCTATGGATTACGTCGGGACGGTTGTTTCAGATGTCCTCCGATCTGTATATAGAGCATAAACTGTTTCCTCGTGGACAGTTGAAATCTAGAGGATCTAAGTTTACAAATGGAAAGAGGTCACACTGGAGTAATTTGACTCAGAATGGTGCGGCACTACAACCTTTTTCACCTCGCCGTAGGAAATGCGCGACATGTCGTAAAATGGGAATTAATTCCCCTTTTATAATATAACGCCGTTATATGGCAGTGTGATCTCTTATTGAGGATAGTTTGATTTATATTAAGTCGTTGAAGACTTTATATGAAACATTCATAAGCAGGAATTGATGCATATGGTTCCTGTGAAAAAGATACTGACCAAATGACTTGTGCATATATACAATGGAGCGCAATAACGGGGACACGAGGGTGCAAATGGAGCAAGCAGTAAAACTGTTACTAGAACACGTCTTTTTGTATTTAAAAATACCGCATACTATGATATAGTCTGAATCATACAGAGTCTGGACTCAGCTTTTAGCAGAGATGTCTCATGATTATGAAAGTGTTTTGTCGCTTTGAAGACTAAGTAAGTGGTTGTATCATACATGTACGCGTAGTACAGTAGGGCTACGTTGATCTGAACAGAACCGTCCTCAGTGAAATCGCTCCGACAAACCCTCATTTCACTTAGCAACTAAACTTTGTTTCCCTGTGTGTCTCTCTCTTACAGCGGGATTGTTGGATTAATGGTGTCGAACTAATAGTGTTTAGTTTCATACACATTTGTATATATGTATTATGATTCTTGTCATGTTCATGTCACATTCGCTATGTGGTAGGGGATTGACATTCTAACTATTGTGATGAGATTGGCTTTCAATTCTTTCTTGCTTCAGAAACTTGGAGGGAAGTACTGTGACTGACATAAACGTCTGTTTACTAATTTGTTTTGTAGTGCTGTATATTAACATACAAAGAAGTGTCGAACAGGTGTGCGTTTGTTTTTGATGAGTGGCTACCTAGATTAGAATGTTGTTCTACACAAATATGCTGTACCAATGGTGTGCTTTATTATCCCATGTTGCATTCATTTCCTTTCGTGTTGTTATTAAATTATTTTAAAAGATCAGTAGATTTTATTTAAAATAGGGTTCATGTTCAACTGACTAACAGTGAATGGGTCTTGATATTTATATATTGATGGTCGAGGAACAGATGATCAGCTTGGAGGATCGGTTCCACAAATTCATTTTAGGCCACATAGTCCATTTGGTCAGCGGCGAGCCATACAGTTCTTATACAAGTGGGTGCAGCTTGTCACAGACAGACAAACTTTGAAGCCATGAAGCCTTAGTACAATATATGCACAGCACACGTACACAAATTGACATGAAAACCACCTTCACCACCTTCTTGTGCCATCAATACAATTCCAAATCCATACATTAACAAATTATCACTATCATGAAGGGCGTCTCGTGTAGATTCAAGCCCAGTGGAGATTCCCAGTATCCATTTCTTCCTACATGAAAACCACCTTCACCACCTTCTTGTGCCATCAATACAATTCCAAATCCATACATTAACAAATTATCATGATCATGAAGGGCGTGTCGTGTAGATTCAAGCCCAATGGAGATTCCCAGTATCCATTTCTTCCTACATGAAAACCACCTTCACCACCTTCTTGTGCCATCAATACAATTCCAAATCCATACATTAACAAATTATCATGATCATGAAGGGCGTGTCGTGTAGATTCAAGCCCAGTAGAGATTCCCAGTATCCATTTCTTCCTACAGGAGCCGAGGAATAGGAATCGAGTGATCACAAATTACTACCTGTCTGATTCAGTGTGATCGTGCGCCGCAAGCTACATGTACATGTAGGATCGGTGCTCATGCTGTTAGCCATCGGCTTGTCTGGCCACATTCGATTACAATGTTACTACATTTCGGAATATATGGATACGGCGTAAAACAACAGTCACTGGCACAATAACTCCTCAAGTATACGCTACGTATAGGTATATCGCAATTAATTAATTGCTTTGGTAAGTCTGGGCCCATCCAATGCAATTGAGAAAGAGATAAGGAGAAGAAGTTATGAGCCTTTTCGTCACACAAATTATTGGCTTAAAAACAGAACTAAAGTCATCTGACTTTCTAGACGTCGCGCCTTTTAGTGGAGGAAGACACGCAAACAAAAACATCCTTGTCGTTCAATCCATGTTAAATAGACGCTAATTGCGTAGTTTGAAAGTTTAATCTAATTTTGCATGCGGGGCAGCGACAGTCAGAAGCATCCGGATATAACACTTGACATGTGATTGCTGTTCAGAGAGTCGGTTTTACGTGCAATTATGGCTAACAGCAGCCGCAATGTTATAACCAGTGACACGAATATGTTACAGCATATGACAACACATGAAAAGTTTATATCCAAAAACTTAATTTGTATATTACATGTTCATAAATCATGTATTTTGTCATGCTCGATGGGGTTGGTAAATGTGAATAGAAGCAATATTGTCACTTTTCGACAGTGTTCACAATCAACGATGTCCTTGCAATCTAATTGATAAACAATTATGCTATTTCGCAAAAATGAATGCAGCATAATGTTATTTACTGAGTACTTTTATGATGTGGAAATGATCATAAATGATAATCATTATAGAAACATAGCAAAACATTGGGTGTATGATATGTGAACTTCAGGTTGTACAGGAACATAATAACAAAAATGTTTCTTGTGTTGACAAGAAAAACATGTTATGAAATATTTAACTGCCAGTAACACGAATGATACGATTACACAAATATTTCATAGTTAATTATTTTGATATTCTAAAGGTTACATAAGGGATATTTGGCTCCTGTGCTATGACGTGCAATTGTGCATTCATGAAGCAAATTGCAATATTGTGTTGTGTTGTTCAGCAGTATTCTAGCCATATGACAGTCAAGGTGAAAAACCCCATGTGGTGTATCTATAAGTGAGACTTGATTTTATAATTAGTTGCTTTAACACTATGCAGTTATGTTACGGCGTGTAAATTTAGTATGTGCGAAACCCAAAGTGATGCCATTGCGCTTAAACCAAATTGAATGAACATGCGAATATGGTACTGACAGGCCAAGAAGCTTAATTGGACAAAACCAACGACCACAAAACCTGGTACAGCAATGAGACCCTTCTCTGTAGAGCATTTTAGGCGTCTGAGAACGCTGTGAAACTCGAACATCCAATGTTCTGGGCTACTGTTTCCCATGAGTGTGATGTAATAAGCATAAGTCATTTAAGATTTAGCCGGATCACTAATGACAGACTTTGCAAGTGCTGTGTTTGTGTTTTATTCACTGCCGGCATTGACGCAGCACAGAATGACAGGAGGAAATTTATCATTGGATTAAGATCGGAGCAAAAAGAACAAAGTTGGCAAGAGATTCCTCTCTTGAGATTTAATCTTCTATTTCGTGTTTCAAAAGATCTTTTTTTCCACAACTATTTTCCCAAACATTTTCGTGTTGTGTTTTATAATCCTATGTTTAAAAGTGTTATCGACGTATTCCGTCATAAAACATTAGCAGCAGTGCCTGTTTGATAAATACAAGATGCAGCCTTATAAATTGGTCTTTCATATTCCTTAAGCATTGTGACAATAGATAACACCAGTTTACTCCATCAAATCTGATATCGTGCATCGGTTCCATGTATGGCTGCATAAACTCACACGTATTATCAGTAAGGGTTACAGCGAGTGATGGTCACTAGAGACTTTGGTTTACAAATGCTAGGTTCGAATGGACTAAGTCTAGAAGTACATGGGTTAATCATATGCGCAAAACTGTACGTTATGCATCAGAGGAAGTATGGATGTTGGACTTCGAATGCTTCAGACGTCAATGGTTTCTTCATCAGGCTGTAGCGCCGGACATTCCATATGAAATAGCCATGGTTTCGAATTCCACGTTCTGTAACGTGCATCCACATGTACAAGCCTTGGGCTCATGTGTTGCCAGCAAGATACGTGCCTGGTGTTTCAACTCATTAAGGTTACAGGGCTGTACGTGCGAACAGCTTGCGACCAAATGTTTATTATTTCTGTTTGACTACTTGTTGGTCGCCCTTTATGTTTGTATCTATTAATATATATATATCCTTTAGCATGTTACAGACGCCCCTCTCTTCCTTTAGCTACTTGCCAACATATGTATACCTACCTACCTACCTACCTACCTACCTACCTACCTACCTACCTACCTATACCCAAAACCCGTATGTATGTGTGTGTGCGTGTGTGTGTGTGTGTGTGTGTGTGTGTGTGTGTGTGTGTGTGTGTGTGTGTGTGTGTGTGTGTGTGTGTGTGTGTGTGTATGTATGTATCTATGTATCTATGTATGTATTTATGTATGTGCCATTCATGTCTGCAAATCTGTTAATTCCATATATTATCTTTTCTACATATATATCCAGTACACATATCTAAACTCCTGTCTGTCTATCATACCTGTCGTACCTGGTGATTCCTCTCCACCATAATTTTATAATTATTTGTATTAATCAGCAAATAACTGTCTATCTGACATACCTACCTGGTGATCTACCATCCCGTATATTTATAATTCATCTATCTACATACATACAAACATACATACATACATGTACATACATACATACATACATACATACATACATACATACATAACATAACATATAGCTGCTTCGTTTTCGTTAACCACCCTATCTAGTGTATTTTAATCACTTACATCGCTAAACGGCATAATTCAAATCAAACCCAGTTCACCTGAACCTGCAAAGTTCCCATGCATATATAAAAGCCAGTTGTTTATGTCCAAGCCACTTGACGTAGTGGAATCAAGTATTGTGCAAGTGTCTGTCTAGGTATGTTTGACGTTACTTTATCATCTGCAGGTAGATGCCACGAGGCCAATCCTTGTGCAAGCTCCGCGTATCTCTGGCCACACGACTGAGGTAGCGGGAAAGCTGTGCCGAGGCTCATATGTCGTAATACAGCAGGAGGTTTTGTAGTGGCATTGGCTCCACGTGCTAGATTCGCCACTTTCCCCTGCCAACACGTCGGGTCAGTCCCCGTCGCTCTGACGAGGAGAACATACTCCATACAGAAGGACCATTAGAGAAGCGCTGGGATTTATTGTCTGAGGAAAACGTACTGTGTGATCGTCGATAATATCACCAGCGTCAAGCCAGGGGTAAGTGCTCGTCCGCTCACTTCATTCAGGAAGGGTGAACGTATCATTCATATTGTTATCAGAGGAGATTTGCGCCAACATTTGGAAATGTTTTAGCAGCGGTCATCCATCTTTCACTTTACTGAGGATGATAACGACATAAGGTACCGCCTCAGAAGCGCATTTTCGTTATTGATTATTGAATGCATTGGAATGAGATTGATATTGAAAGGTCAGGAATCAGTTTCTACTTTTTAAGGAAACGTCAGGAAAATTATGTATTAATTTATGCTTATGTGCAAGGTACCTTTATTTTAAGTATATTCCATCTGCAACATTAGTTTCCCAGACCTAGTCCAGAGTCGTATGAGTATATGTTTAATACTGCATGGCGTTGAACAGGACTAAAATAAAAGTAGAACATAGTTCTATGCCATATCTAATAAAATGGATATTCATATGTCGCAACAGAATGAAAACGTTATTATTACACACACATTGCTTTGACCATCATTTCCAGTGCAGCTAAATAAATTTAAACGTGTGCAGCTTCAACATTGGACCGATTACCTACACATGACGTTTTCGGTATTATGATAAGAACAATAATATTAGCATACTACCTTTAACTTTCTCATTTGTTTTAGCTATATGAAGTTTTCGGTATTACTAGAAGAAACTGATATTAGCATATTCCCTCTTACTTCCTCTTGTGGGCGAGTGTTACAGCCATATGTCTTTCGTGGTATTACTAGAAGAAACTGTGATATTAGCATATTCCCTCTTACTTCCTCTTGTGGGCAAGTGTTTTAGCCATATGTCTTTCGTGGTATTACTAGAAGAAACTGATATTAGCATATTCCCTCTTACTTCCTCTTGTGGGCGAGTGTTACAGCCATATGACGGTTTCGGTATCACGATAAGAAATATGATATTAGCATGTTCCATTTAATGTTTCCTTGTAGGCAATTGTTTTAGCCATATGACTTTCGTGGCATTACTAGAAGAAACTGTGATATTAGCATATTCCCTCTTACTTCCTCTTGTGGGCAAGTGTTACAGCCATATGTCTTTCGTGGTATTACTAGAAGAAACTGTGATATTAGCATATTCCCTCTTACTTCCTCTTGTGGGCAAGTGTTTTCGCCATTTTACGATTTCGGTATCATGATAAGAACATTGATATAAGCATACTTCCTTTAACGTCCCCATGTGGGCGAGCGTTTTAGCCATATGACGGTTTCGGTATTATGACAAGAACAGTGATATTAGCATACTTCCTTTAACGTCCCCTTCTGGGCGATCGTTTTAGCCATATTACGTTTTCGGTGGTATGATAAGAACTATGATATTAGCATACTCCCTTTAACGTCCGCTTTGTGGGCGATCGTTTTAGCAATATGACGTTTTTGGCATTACGACTTTTCTCAGAGGTACAATCTAAGTTAACCCTACTGAAACTCTCTCTGTGTGTCTCTCTGTTGGTTTTGTGGTCAGGCATTGGTTTGAAACCATAAATATCCTAATAGATTAATGATAACATGACGCCAATAACTGTGGCTAATCCTTGACAAGGTCATGACCATTTATGGCAATATGACTTATTGCCCCATGGGGATTCCTCGTTACAATAGGTCACCGATAAGCAGCCTATGTTCGTCGTAAGAGGCGACTTTAATTGATATGGCGGTCAGGCTCAGTGACTTGGTTAATTGCTCATAACATCAATCACATGATTCATTTGTCAAGATTCAAATATTTTCTGGGCGCCATCACATAGCTGAAATCTCTCTCTCTCTCTCTCTCTTTCTCCCTCTCTCTCTCTCTCCCTCCCTCTCTCCCTCCCTCTCTCTCTCTCTCACTCTTACTAGGAACAATGTAGACAGTCGTACAACAGTGTTGAGTGAGTGAGTGAGTGAGTGAGTATGGTTTTACGCCGCTTGTAGCAATATTCCAGCAATATCACGGCGGGGGACACCAGAAATGGGCTTCACACATTGTACCCATGTCGGGAATCGAACCCGAGTCTTCGGCGTACGAGAGAACGCTTTAACCACTAGGCTACCCGACCGCCCCACAACAGTATTGAATTAAATTATAACGCATCTGTTACGACCATGTGATATGGTATGCACTCACGTCGGGTTCAAATAACGTCAAACGTCATTTAACCGATATTATTTCGTTTCAACACAAAACATTTACAAAACGCTTGCGACATTCCTTCAAATAACTGATTAGTTTCGAAAAGCGTCGTTTTAACTCCTGTGAAAAGAAAGTTACATTTTCAGCAACGGGAAATTAAAGTGGGATTTCGCAAATAAATGCAATACCCACAGGAATTACCTTAACAAATGGGTGAAAATCGCTCGGAAAATTGACAATTCAACTGTGAAGTCGCTTCACAGGCTACGTAAGTTTAACAAATATTTACACTCATGTGATGTAGTTTAGCGAGAAAATTACATTATAGTTTACGACAAAGCTCTTTGAAGGATAACCTTATTTGACGATTAAATCAATTTAAGGCACTTCCATGTGTAGTTACTATCTGAACAGTAAATTTTCTGTGTGTGATCTTAAACTGCAGGTTTTATTTCATCATTTGCTTTTGAATTTCGGTGTCTCTGATCACAACCCGGTGTGTTTTTTCCTAGGTGATCGCGATATCATAATTACCACCCTTGGGAAATGAACAATTTCTCGCAAGCTGGAAGGGCTCATGTCAAAGGTCAAGCCCTAGGGATTTGATTGGTTGTTGTTGCCGCTATGTTTTCTCCATGGTGCTTCAATGATAGATGGATAGTATTCGGACTGTCTGCTTTGTAAAGGATCGTCAATTAAGGGAACGAGCCCGAAAGTATGGCCTTGGAAGCCTCACTGGCTAAACGCGATCATTTGCGAAGATAATCAACTCATTGCATGCTTTGGAATTGGTTAATTGATGATGAAGTTTATCATATATCAATCAAAATGGACAAAAATGAAAATGGAAGTATAAAAAGTGGAATACTATTAATTGTAATACAGCTGTTACATCTTATTAAGGTTACGTCAATATGGAAACTTTTCAAAGATCTGTCATGATTGAAACGGAAACGTCATGCGTCACGTTTTACTTTTTAGCTAAACGGGCGGTCGGGTAGCCTAGTGGTTAAAGCGTTCGCTCGTCACGCCGACGTCCCGGGTTCAATTCCCGACATGGGTACAATGCGTGAAGCCCATTTCCGGTGTCCCCCGCCGTGATATTGCTGGAATATCTCTAAAAGCGGCGTAAAACCATACTCACTCACTCATTTTAGCTAAACAATGCATTTGTATTTATCGTACCACGAATCTACACCTGTCTCGACAATGGTTTGTGACGTCACGCGCCAAAGTGATGTCATTTCTGAAACTTCGATCAGTTTTATAAATACAACTATTAGGACAAAACTCTTTCCCTAATCCTTCGATCCTGTGTTGGTGATCATGACCCCATGTCGCCTATTTGGTGATGATATATGACAGGAAGTCGGGTCGTTAAAATATTGCATCTTCCCAATACATCATTGATGATCCGCGTTGTAATACAAATGTACTATGAAGTAATGCAAGTATACCAACTGAAACCCCTTCAGTCGAATGTTCCTAATTCGTTAAATCAATTCAATCCATCAATCATTTTATTTCTAAAAAAAGAACCACCCACGATCGTACAGGAGAAAAAGTTTCTTAACTTGATAATGATTTTTATTTAACAACATGTCGGTTATACTGTAAAACTATTTTGCGACATTTATACATTTTGCTTGAAAATTTGTCTGAACACTTGAACAGAAACATACATAGTGAAGCCAATATACACTCAGCACGCATATTTTGAGTCACACTCAGAGGTACTTGATTTCTTTTACATTTGTGGTACTCAATATCTTTTAGTATTTTATGATATTAGGAAACTGTGTAAATTTATTTGAGATCAATTTGGATCTGGCTTCACGGAAAGCTTTACATTTAAACAGATAGTGCCATTCATCCGATATAGCTAGCGACATATATACACATTTTGATTGTCCTATATTCTCTATCTTTCCCAAGCCAACCGCTAACTTCGACAGGCAAATTATGGTTACATGTTTTATGGACCCGTGAATATCCGGGGTAGAATAGGTCTTCAGCAACTCATGCTTGCCCTAAAAGGCCACTATGGTTGTCGTAAGACGCGACTAACAGAATAGGTCTTCAGCAACCCATGCTTGCCGTAAAAGGCCACTATGCTTGACTCGTAAGACGCGACTTACAGGATCGGGTAAAGTACCAAATGACGGGGTATCTTTTTTATATAATTATTAATAATAATACCCTTTTAATTACATAAACACGCCAGGGTGCTTGTAATATGTATGCAAATAAAAGTGACAACACCCTTCCCATAATCAGAAGATTCAGACTATGTCACAAACACGTCTTTATGAACCGGTATCAATAGGTACTAATGCCAGGTATTCGCGAAAAGGTGAGCATATCCTGGTGGCTCCCGTCACAAACACATGCACAGACAAGACAACAGTTCACCTAAACAAACATGGTGCAAGTAGAATAAATAATCGCTTCGGACATCAATTTGGTCACTGACGCATCAAATTTGGAAAAGTTCTCCACATGTCTGCCACTATTGTATGGTTTTACTAAATTAAATGCTTTAAATACTGTTACCCTTATCAAACAATTTTTTAACAAGAGCAAGACATCAATGACGCTCTCAAGTTTGTATGCAGTCCGGATTCAGGGGTTTTCATTATATTTCGATGTAACACAGATTTAACTGTTCCGTCGAAGAGGTTTTCGCACTGCAATGAATTGAAGCGATGATTTCAAATTACATTCACTTTATCAGGCAACAAACACATACTTTAATGATATGCAAATTATGTGAATGGCGGGTGCTACCGGTGGGGCAGGACATGCTTACCCTTTTCGCGAACATCCTTTGTCATCACTGATTTTCACTTGCCCATTCATATGATTTTCACCTCTAT